AAGCCTTAAAAGTCACAAAGTGAAAATTATGCATTTTATCGAAACCTATGATTGTAAATACAATGTAGCATTTTCTTTGTATATTAAGCCAAAAGTAACCATATTGAGATGTTTTTTTTATAATTTATTTGATGCACTTTTTATAAAACTTCTGCTGCAACTTTATTAATAAATGATACATTAATATAGTTCCTTGTTTGAGTATTTTCTTGTTTTTCTTTTATTATCATTCTTATTGCATCAGACTGAACATTATTTTAGGTTAAGCTATTGCATGTTTCTAACATGAGTATTTTAACAGTGACTTTAAACAGTGACCCAGTTTTGCTGCATACTATTTCAAATAAAGCATAGAAAACTTCTTCCTCAGCTGGTTACTTAATACATTCCTAGGATCTAGCAGCACAAGGAGAGAAATGTTACATAATACAGTATTTTGCAAGAAGAAAGCTTAAATATATTTTCTTTTACTTTAAGACAATTTAACAAGTTAGTTGCAAAATTTCAATGAAACCATTCTATGCTATCAGTTCTTTAAACAGTAATATCCAAAAGTTGGCATTTAGGGTTAGTGCTGCTTTGTAGATTCTTTAAAAATCACACTCTCTATTTTTGTTGTATCAGTTCTGTGAATGCAGCTAAACCAACAAATATTCTCACTAGTTGATTTTGGATTAAAATAATCTACTGATTTTAGCAACATATTTTTTTTCTGATAGGCATAAAGTTTCACTTATTTTTGCCAGTTTGTTTTGGTGACAGGTTGCAATGAAAAATTCTGTAAAGATTTAATAAAAAGCATAAATTTGAGTACATCCACATGAAGAGAGGAACATTATGCACTCTGAGAAATAAAGTTAAGTAACTGACTTAAAATTCCTTGTCAATCTGTCATGTCCTCTGTCTCCTGTTTAATTAAACTCTTCATGACGTGTGTGACTCAGTCAAGTTGGGCAACATAAGATAAAGCTAAGACATTCCCCTGCAGAGCATTGTTTCCTTCTTTCAGGTTACATACAGCAATCAGCTGTGCTAATTTGATAAGAGCGACTTTTAGGTAGCAAAACTGAAGATAATAGAAGAGTAAAGAAAATGCAGAAAAGTGAAGATATTTACCAGAAAGATTGATAATGTAAATTTCTATTTCTAAGATTGAGGAATCTTTTGGTGAATCAGGAAACAAAAACCATGCTTAACAGAAAAACTAACCGAGTGTCAGAATTTTAAGAAAATGAATGTCATGCACATGATTCACACGCAGCCTTTCTGTGAATCAAATGTTTGCACTCAAAAACTCTAAAAAAACAGCTCCCCTGAGTTTGAGTATAAATTTGAATTAAAAAAATATTTTTGGTCTCCTTTTTAATCCTCTTACATAAGCCAGTTTACCTGAAGTGCTACTTTCTTCTGTGTTTGAGGATTCAAAACACTAAGACACCTTTCAAATGAGCAAAAAACCTTAGAAGGATCATTTTAAGGATTCCTCTTAAGGATTTTCAATAATAAAACAATGGAATATTATACAATGATGCTTTCTGACAAGAAAATTATGATCAAAATATATCTTAACTTAAATACTGACTTACTAACGTACAAATAGAAATCGGACATCTGTTGAATCCTTTTAAAAGTCTATAATTACTTTAGCATTATCATTTCAGTTTCTAAAGAGAATGTAATATTGTTGATATCCTAACTGAAGAAAAAAAATCTGCTAAAACCATTAAAATGCATTTAGTTCATTCAATATTATAGTTTCATGTACATATAGAGAATTTAATCTGAAGATACAGTACTAAATAATAAGTGAAGGTTTTCATTAACTTGTTTAATTAGGCCCACTGTGAAGGCCTATTGTAATTCATTTTGAATTTTTATGTTTCATTTCAATAGCAAGTATCCTAAAGATGAGAATGACACATGAGGCTTAACTTAATCATAAAGGTTGCCCCCTTTTTTTATTAATGGATTTGTTGTGGATAGTATAGCCAGAAAGAACCTAAACAGGAAATGTCTCCAGCAGGGTGTGATTTTATTCCTGTAACAGATTTATTTTTAGCCTGCATTGAGTTTTAAGATGTTTACTGATCTGACATTGAGGTTAGTTGTAGATACAAAGCTCCTCTTTCTATGATACTTATCTGAATGAGGGAGGTGACAGAAGCTCTTAACAACCTTTTGTTGTCAGGTCAAATCAGTGACCCACTTCCTGCAAATAGTTTTCATTGGTAACTCATTACCTTACTGGCAGTTAAAAGTCATGATATCCTTTTTTCAAACTTGCTGTATCAGCTTGAAAACCTCAATCTCTCTGGAGTTACATTGAACCTGCTGGCTGTCTCTCTGATTAAGTCTCTTGCTATCCAGGTCTATGCCAGATGTCACATATTTGAAGTTTTGCAGCATTGAATAGAGCCCTGTAGCATGTTCAACGTTGAGCTAAATATTTAAACCTAAAACCACTTAAACTTCCACCAAACTTTACCCTGGGTCTTTACTTCACTATTAGGCACTACTTTGCGTTCATCTATCACACAGCGTAGCACAGCTGCAGCACAGCTTAAAAACCATCACCTAATCTTGAAAGTGATGTCACTGAGAAAATGAACCGGCCAAGCATTACCAACAGGAAGAAGATGTTAAGGAAGTGGAGTAAAACAAAAACCTCTAAGTTCAACCGTGAATCTGGTTACAAAAACAGGGCAGACTGTTTTTCTTGAGAAAGCTTTAGTCTTTAGTGTTTGCTGAAAGATTCAATTCAGTTTATTTCTATAGTGACAATTCACAACACATGTCATCTCAAGCGACTTTACAGTTCACCCGGTCATACAGTCAAATTGATTCATAGTTTTCTATCTACGGAAAACCAGTTGATTGCATCGACTCATTAACTGGAAGGCAATTCCTCACACCAAGTATCCTTGTAGCGACAGTGGAGAGGAAAAACTCCCTTTTAACAGGAAGAAACCTCCAGCAGAACCAGGCTCAGTGTGAGCGGCTATCTGCTAAGGCTGACTGGGGTTCAAGGAGACATAAGTAGAGATACGAAAAGCAACTGTAAAAGGCGGCCCTGTCCAGGAAACACACAGCCAGGCAGACGAGCTCAGAGCCAACTCCCATGTCAGAGAGCTGATGCAAGATGTTGCATCAGACAAATGATTAAAATGGGCTTAAAAAGCTAATAAATAAGTTGAGATGGACCAATAGGTCAGGCCATATTTTTGACCCATTCTGGTGGAGACAATGTAAGCATGTATCAGCATTGACTGATACATGCATACATTGGCTAATTCACAATTGCATTCAAGAGTCATACCTTAAAGGAATAGTACACCCAAAACATGATTAGCCTTCATTTTCTACTCACCCCCATGCTGAACAACACTCTGGAGTACTTTTTTGATATCTCAAATGCATCTGGAGATCTGGGAGGCTTCTTGCTGTCTGCTGACATTCAAATAATGGAGGTCTATGGTGCCCGAAACAGAAAGGTCCATAAAAGTCCACAAAAAACGTGTCAATATTCCTCCATACTGCTCGTCCAATGTATTCCAAGTGTCCTGAGTGGGTAGCATCCAGAATTTAGTCGAAACGAAGTCATTTAGAATGTTTTTAGAGCATAAACAGTAGTGTATAGGATTTCCTAAAAGCGCGTTCACGACGCTACAGAAACCGCGGCAGACCAAACCAGACGAAAGTGCGCATTCAGCGCGGCAAAGAACTCATGCTCTTCCTCAACACTGAAGTCCTCAGACATTTTTCTTTCGTTGTTTCTTTCTTTGCACAGGTAAACAGCACATTTCTTCTTCTACGCTTGCATTATCGGCAGAGCAGACGCTGAATGCGCACTGTCATCTGGTTTGGTCTGCTGGCTTCCGTAGCGTCGTGAACGCGCATGTGCGCGCTTTCAGGAAATCCTATACACTACTGTTTATGCTCTAAAAACATTCTAAATGACTTCGTTTCGAGTAAATTCTGGATGCTACCCACTCAGGACACTTGGAATACATTGGACGAGCAGTATGGAGGAATATTGACACGTTTTTTGTGGACTTTTATGGACCTTTCTGCCTCGGGCGCCCAAGACCTCCATTATTTGAATGTCAGCAGACAGCAAGAAGCCTCCCAGATCTCCAGATGCATTTGAGATATCAAAAAAGTACTCCAGAGTGTTGTTCAGCATGGGGGTGAGTAGAAAATGAAGGCTAATCATGTTTTGGGTGTACTTGCTTTCTATTGCACTCCATTTTGGGAAAGACACCCTCGGAATAACGCGTGAGTATGAGAAATTGCTTAGGAAACTTGTAGATTATAGGAACCATCTACGTTTCAATTTAAGATGTAGACCGCAAGGACTCATTCCCAACAGTTTAAGACTGAAGTCTACTATCAAAGGACACAGGGCAGAAGAGATTCTTAGGAAAGCGCACAAAAAGCTGCTTAGTGAGAGGAATTGAGAAAGCTTCCTGGAGAGGTGGCGAAGCATCTTCAAATCTTGGAAACCAAGTCCAGTGGAAGTTTTTTTGAACTTTTACGGAATGACTATGACCTGGATGACTGAGAATCTTCATCACCATACTTGTTGAGAAGGCTGAAGCTTTAAGGAGTTCTCTCACATTTAAAAACATCTTAAAACAATATTTTTTCTGACAAATTGTTGTATAAAGGTGATAGAGCTGTACACTCTACCCTCTTTACTGCTAATGCTGGTGCAATGCCTTACCTCAATATGCATAACCCTGCACCTTTGAAAAGGGAGAGTGGAATTTCCAAAGTACAATTTTACCCAAACAATCTTCTGGCTTTCAAAAGCTTTGGACTTCTAAATAAAATTAGAAAATGGAGTTTTCACTATAACCACACCCAAGAGACACAGATAATTAAAAACCCTCTATGATAGAGATCCCGCTCTGCACCTTCCTGTTGTTTTTGTATGCTGCTTAACTTCCTTGATTGTGGCTTGCACAGGGAAAGTACCACTGATGACGCTAGAAGGCTATTTAACAGACTCACATCACAGTCGATGAATAAATCACTCTCTAGCTACTGCAACAGACACATCATCAGCATCAACATGGACAAGCTGTCTACTGAAACCCAGAACCGCAAGCGGATCAAGGAAGTGGAGAATGCTTTCAGCCCACCGGGAGAGCCGCTTTCCAAACCGAATCGGATCCTGGTGGGAGAGGGAACCTTGATGAAGCAGGGTCGGAAGAAGATGGAGCAGAAAGCATTCTTCCTCTTCAACGATATCCTCGTGTACGGCAGCGTCATCATTAACAACCACTGGTACAAAAACCAGAAGATCATCCCTTTAAGTGAGTCTCTCAAATGCAGACATGAGCTGATTATTCAAATTTAAATTTTAGTCAATTAAACTAAGCATGGTTTGATGCATTAAGATTATATAAATATCTTTCAGAGGACATCAGGCTGGAGGACATGGAAGATGGTGAAGAATTTAAAAACCTGTGGTTAATCTGCACGCCTCGCAAGTCTTTCTACATCTCTGCCCCCACCTGCGAGGAGAAGAAAGCCTGGATGATGCACATCGAGCTTTGCCAGAGTTCCCTGCTGCAGGAGCAAGTCCCCCAACAAAACCTCACCTTCGCCAAATCCTGGATCCCTGACCATGCTGCTCAGAAATGCATGCGCTGCTTCGTCACATTCACCCCAATCATTCGCCGACACCACTGCAGAAAGTGTGGCTTTGTGGTGTGCAACAAGTGCTCCAAGGACAGAGCCCAAATCAACCACATTGACCCCAAGAAACTGCTGCGTGTCTGCAAGATCTGTAGCAAAACATGTAAGGAAAATGAGATTTCCAGGGCAAGATTTGACAGTGATGGCTTGTGGGGTGATGCAGAAGACTTATCCAGCGAAGATGAGTAATCTCAGACCAATTCTCACATAATAAACACACTGTAGGTTTAAACTGAAGTTGCGTAACATAAACCTTATATCCTGTTTCCACTGTTTGGAGAAAATTTAGCCATAAAAGAGCAAATAATGTGAGATATCACAGAGAGCATCAGGAATCTCTCTTAGCAGAACAATGTGTGAACTGAAATAGTTCAGCTGTACCTATCAGGGAGGGGATGAACACCTGTCAGCCATTATCTTTGTCCTGATAAGACCTGCCAAGACAGAGGAAGAGCATCATAACTACTGTACAAAGACTGTTGGGCTTTTGACCTGTAAATAGATAAAACTGTACCTACTGATAAAAGACTTAAAGCCTTAAAAGTCACAAAGTATTTGAAAATTATGCATTTTATCTAAACCTATGATTGTAAATACAATGTAGCATTTTCTTTGTATATTAAGCCAAAAGTAACCATATTGAGATGTGTTTTTTTATAATTTATTTGATCCACTTTTTGTAAAACTTCTGCTGTAACTTTATTAATAAATGATACATTAATATAGTTCCTTGTTTGAGTATTTTCTTGTTTTTCTTTTAGTTATCATTCTTATTGCATCAGACTGAACATTATTTAGGTCAAGCTATTGCATGTTTCTAACATGAGTATTTTAACAGTGACTTTAAACAGTGACCCAGTTTTGCTGCATACTATTTTAAACAAAGCATAGAAAACTTCTTCCTCAGCTGGTTACTTAATACATTCCTAGGATCTGGCAGCACAAGGAGAGAAATGTTACATAATACAGAATTTTGCAAGAAGAAAGCTTAAATATATTTTCTTTTACTTTAAGACAAGTTAACAAGTTAGTTGCAAAATTTCAATGAAACCATTCTATGCTATCAGTTCTTTAAACAGTAATATCCAAAAGTTGGCATTTAGGGTTAGTGCTGCTTTGTAGATTCTTTAAAAATCACACTCTCTATTTTTGTTGTATCAGTTCTGTGAATGCAGCTAAACCAACACATATTCTCACTAGTAGATTTTAGATTAAAATAATCTTCTGATTTTAGCCACATGTTTTTTTTTTTTCTTTTTGTTTAATAGGCATAAAGTTTCCCCATTTCTGCCTGATGTTTTGGTGACAGGTTGCAATTATAAATTCTGTAAAGATTTAATGAAAAGCATAAATTTGAATCCACATGAAGAGAGGAACATTATGCACTCAAAAACATGGAGACAAATGAAGTTAAGTAACTGATTCCTTGTCAATCTGTCATGTCCTCTGCCTCCTATTTAATTAAACTCTTCATGACGTGTGTGACTCAGTCAAGTTAGGCAACATAACAAGATAAAGCTAAGACATTCCCCTGCAGAGCATTGTTTCCTTCTTTCAGGTTACATACGGCAATCAGCTGTGCTAATTTGAGAAGAACGACTTTTAAGTAGCAAAACTGAAGATAATAGAAGAGTAAAGAAAATGCAGAAAAGTGAAGATATTTACCAGAAAGATTGATGATGTAAATCTCTATTTCTAAGATTGGTGAATTTTTTGGTGAATCAGGAAACAAAAACCATGCTTAACAGAAAAACTAACCGGGTGTCGGAATTTTAAGAAAATTAATGTCATGCACATGATTCACACGCAGCCTTTCTGTGAATCAAATGTTTGCACTCAAAAACTCTAAAAAAAAAAAAAAAGGCTCCCCCTATGTTTGAGTATAAATTTGCATAAAAAAATATTTTTTGTCTCCTTATTAATCCTCTTACATAAGCAGGTTTACCTGATGTGCTACTTTCTTCTGTGTTTGAGGATTCCAAGCACTAAGACACCTTTCAAATGAGCAAAAAACCTTAGAAGGATCATTTTAAGGATTTCTCTTAAGGATTTTCAATAATAAAACACTGGAATATTATACAATGATGCTTTCCGACAAGAAAATTATGATCAGAATATATCTTAACTTAAATACTGACTTACTAACGTACAAATAGAAATCTGACATTTGTTGAATTCTTTTAAACGTCTATAATTACTTTAGCATTATCATTTCAGTTTCTAAAGATCATGTAATAGTGTTGATTTCTCAGCTGAAGAAAAAAAAAATCTGCTAGAACCATTAAAATGCATTTAGTTCATTCAATATTATAGTTTCATGTACATATAGAGAATTTAATCTGAAGATACAGTACTAAATAAGTGAAGGTTTTCATTAACTTGTTTAATTAGGCCCGCTGTGAAGGCCTATTGTAATTCATTTTGAATTTTTATGTTTCATTTCAATAGCAAGTATCCTAAAGATGAGAATGACACATGAGGCTTAACTTAATCATAAAGGTTGCCCCTTTTTTTTTTATTAATGGATTTGTTGTGGATAGTATAGCCAGAAAGAACCTAAACAGGAAATGTCTCCAGCAGGGTGTGATTTTATTCCTGTAACAGATTTATTTTTAGCCTGCAGGGAGTTTTAAGATGTTTACTGATCTGACATTGAGGTTAGTTGTAGATACAAAGCTCCTCTTTCTACAATACTGATCTGAATGAGGGAGGTGACAGAAGCTCTTAACAACCTTTTGTTGTCAGGTCAAATCAGTGACCCACTTCCTGCAAATAGTTTTCATTGGTAACTCACTACCTTACTGGCAGTTAAAAGTCATGATATCCTTTTTTCAAACTTGCTGTATCAGCTTGAAAACCTCAATCTCTCTGGAGTTACATTGAACCTGCTGGCTGTCTCTCTGATTAAACCTCTTGCTATCCAGGTCTATGCCAGATGTCACATATTTGAAGTTTTGCAGCATTGAATAGAGCCCTGTAGCATGTTCAACGTTGGGCTAAATATTTAAACCTAAAACCACTTAAACTTCCACCAAATTTTACCCTGGGTCTTTACTTCACTATTAGGCACTACTTTGTGTTCATCTATCACACAGCGTAGCACAGCTGCAGCACAGCTTAAAAACCATCACCTAATCTTGAAAGTGATGACACTGAGAAAATGAACTGGCCAAGCATTACCAACAGGAAGAAGACGTTAAGGAAGTGGAGTAAAACAAAAACCTCTAAGTTCAACAGTGAATCTGGTTACAAAAACAGGGCAGACTGTTTTTCTTGAGAAAGCTTTAGTCCTTTAGTGTTTGCTGAAAGATTCAATTCAGTTTATTTATATAGCTCCATTTCACAACACATGTCATCTCAAGGCACTTTACAGTACAGTTCACCAGATCATCCAGTCAAATGGATTGAAAGATTTCTATCTAAGGAAAACCAGTTGATTGCATCGACTCATTGACTCAAATACAATCCCTCACACCAAGCATTCTTGTAGCGACAGTGGAGAGGAAAAACTCCCTTTTAACAGGAAGAAACCTCCAGCAGAACCGTGCTCAGTGTGAGCGGCCATCTGCCGAGGCCGACTGGGTTCAAGGAGGCAGAAGCAGAGATACAAAAAGCAGCTGTAAAAGGCGGCCCCGTCCAGGAAACACACAGATAATGTATATTTTCCATAGCAACATCAGACAAAATATTAAAAGGAGCTTAAAAAGCTACTAAAGAAGTTGAGGTAGACCAATAGGTCAGGCTATATTTTTGGCCCATACTGGTGGAGACAATAAGTGCATGTATCAGCATTGGCTGAAACATGCATACATTGGCCAATTCACAATTGCATTCAAGCATCATACATTAAGATCAACTAATGCACATGCAAGAACACTCCCTCCATTCACAATATTTATTGCTTTGTTTGATTTTTTGATGAAGGTTTCTTTTTTGTTTAAATTGAGACTTACATAACATTTACTGTATTAACATTGTGTCATCTTTCCCTCTAAACAAAAAAACAGAATCAGATAAAAAAAAAATTGGCCCAAAATAATCGGCGGCACATATTGGGACAGGTTGAGCTGTTGTCAAAACAGCAACGTTCATGTCTCATGTTCATGTGGTTTTTGGTTTGTGCCTTCCAGAAATGACCCTGCTTCATCAATGACGGGATAATTTTAAATGCATTTGAGATCATTCTTCAGTCGACACCCCAGGCTGTGCCCATGTGTAAATAGTCATCCATGGTGAAGTTGAAGACCTTTGCACTATAATGTAATTTTCATAAAACTATCCAGATCGTCAACATGGTGCCTCCACTGACATGATTGACATTTCTACATTGTTTTAGTTGAATTAGATCAGAAGTTGGGCTGCAAATAAAGATTATTTTGCAAATGCATTAATCTGTCGATCCTTCTTTTGATTGATAATCGAATAGCCAAAGGTTCCTTAAAAAAGCTTTTTTATGAAATTAAAACTGGTGAAAATAAAACTTTTTGAGGATGAGGAGTTCTGAATTGACAGATGAAAATCTTTTTTTGTTAAATGCTAAATGTTTTTTTTTATTTTTTTTTTAACAATTAAATATAATTACAGCTCTAAGTGAGTTGCTCCGCTAGCTAAAGGCATGTTTCAGAGTCTATATACTCCATTTAACGATTAATTGATTGATAAATTAGTTAAGGATTATTTCAATAATCAATTAATCACGATTAATTCGATTAATTGCTTCAGCCCTAATCAGTAGCGTTATTGTTTGAGGCCTAAAGAAAAAGAAAGACTAAATTTAAATGGGGTATTTAAAACAATACTGTCTGCCTTGTGTCCTATGAACATTAAGAGATTTTTCTTTCAGAAATTCCTTTATAGTTTTCTTTGAAGTCCCAATTCGGCGTAACAGATTATTAAAAAACATATCAGACATAAACAACCAACGTAAAATCTGATTAAAATTTTCAATTGCTCAAATAAAATAGAAATACCCTTCCTTTGTAACTGTGATTAACCTTTGGAAAACTAAAGTTTTTTTTACTAGTTCCAACCTGGTCTGATTACTGTTAAACTACTACAATCAATACATTTATTAACTAGAAAATAGAAAAGGTTAGAAAAAGTCGCCCATTGCCCATTTCCCACTGAAAAGCAATAAATTTGTTTTAGTTATATGTGATTCAAAGCCTTAGCTTGTTGCATACATCCCTGCACCTTGGACAATCCAAGGGAAGGTAGGATTACCAAAGTAAATATGAATTAATTGGTAAAGACACCATTCAAAATGTTTGGACCT